TTTTTTTTTTTTTTCTTATTTAATTTATGGATGTGAAGATACAAACTATATTTGTCCGATTTAATATCTTTTTCCCTTTTAATTCACATCTTTCTTTCTTTTTTTTCTTCAAGTGGTGTTGTACGCTTTTTCAATTATTTTTCCCATTTATGTATACCTATTCTTTGGGATATTTTACTGTCCGTTACGGAACCATTCCGTCGGGTTTGTAACCGCTAAATCAACTATCCACGATGATTACATGATGATGTAACGGTTACAAATCCCAACAGATATATGTTGAATGCTTGGAATGTAAAACTTAAAACATATTGGGCTAAAAGTGAAGGTTTTCACTTAAGATTATTGCCATCATTCAACTTAATAATAATATTGGAAACTCGTTAGCCTGATAGTATAGTAATGGTAATTGTTGCTGTTGTTATTATTATTCAACAAAAAAATTGATTCTTTGGATTAAAGTATAAATATCCAAAAAATGATAATCCACAAAAATTTATAATCAGTCGGCCTGGTCCTCAGTATAAAAAATGCTCAAAGATCTGAATGTTTGATCATAATGTAGCTATATAAAGACACGCTTTTCCTATTCTTTTCGTATCAATCTCGAAAATTCTGCTATGGAGTATAAAATTTTTCGATCTTACAGCTAAAAACGAGAGCTTGGTGAGAAAACAGATTTTCTGACAAACATGAGATAACAGTTACTCAGATAGTGCTCTTAGCCAACCTTTTATTTGATTTATGCTGATTTCTCGATTGTACGGTCAGCGTACGGGTATTCGGTTGGTGCTATCCACAAGCCACATAGTATAAGCAAGTGGGCCCCGAGCAGAATAGTCGAAGAGTAGACATTAGACGGGTAAACATTCCAACAAAATTCCACTGTAACGAAAAGTGTTAAACTGCAGGAGAACAAAACCGTTCAAATTACGTGCACTGATAGTCCATTAAGCGGTATAATGTTTCGCAACCAAAACTTACCGTAACCAAGTAGGAAATGGAGTTCGCCACAATAGATAGGGCAGAGTATAAAAATACCTGAGATCAACATTTGTGGAGTATGAGATTTTTTTATTTTTATTTTTTTTAGTAAAAGATACACCTAAAATTCTAATGGTAATGTTCGACCATTTGCCCACAACATTGAGAATTCGAAACCATCATAAGATGTCAAGAGTCACATACCAAGAGTAGAACTGATAATGCAAAGACCGAGCGCACACAATACCGATGAAATTCCCGACAAACATAGTTGTCACTATATCTGTAATTAAATGAAACAATAGTGGGGGCCCATGAAGATTTAAAAAAATAAATAAATAAATAACTGAATCCCATCGGTTGATCAATCAATAGAGGTAGGAAGGAGAGGATCAAAAGTAGTTAACTATTATTACTTACGTTCTGTTGTGAGCACTCTCGAGCTTACTTTTAGAAAAAAGGCACTTCGATGAGACATCTTGAGCTTCAGCTGACTGAGTTTCGAGTGCAGGAGAGAAAACAATCCCCCTTCATGCCTACACCAAGCCAAAATACTTGAGAGTCAAGAGCACAACTAGACAATTTCCAGCTAGATAAATTAATTATAGTCTCGATATTGATTGTATAAAGAGAAGAGAAAAAAAGTAATGATAAGCTAGCATCGAGAGACATATTAAAGGCCATTTGTAACACTTAATGCATAGTAACAACCACATGATACCTACGACGTACCTGCACCATCTTAAGTGAGCAAACAATGCAAGCATAATAAGGTGAGCAGCCAATAGAAACAGCGCAAATCCTCTAGATACGAAAACTGGTTCTGGAACAAATTTGAAATTCACAGACCTGGAAAATAAAGTTGAAAACTTTATGTTCCAGTCATAATAATTAATAGCATAATAAAAGTTTCGGAACTCCACAAAACAGATCGTTGTAATTTTGTTCTACAGCCGGCAGAATAACTTGAAAAAAATAACCATGAACAAATGGCTAGAAACAGAACATGAGGAGGACAAGTGATAAAGAATCTATCTACAGTAAAATCAGAAAACGAGTCAATGAGATTACCAAAAATGGATGAACACCCGACCAAGATTGAAGGCTCTTGCGATATATTCAATTGGTTGTGATAATAGGAAAGGCAACCCGACAAAAATCTGTAGAATCCAAGAAGACAAACATTTTGATTACCTGGTGCCTTGTAGAGAGTTAATATAAAAAGTAAGATGTCATCTAAATTCTAAAACTTGACGATTGGCTGCACTCAACACTAACTCGCTCCATAAATCATGAAACAGTGAATCAATAGAAGCATTTAAGTGGGGAAAAAAGTCACCTGCATCAGAGCTGCACCTACACCAGCAGACAAAACCCCAAAAGGATTCATAGCCTGTTTTTCCAAGATTTTTCAAGCATATCAGAATTTGGCTAAAACATAAACAAGAACATCTCTGAATGAAAAATAACAAGTCCGACCAATCAGAAACAATGAACCTTTATTAAGAGGAGTAATAACGGAGGTGCATACAGAAGAACATTCATCTTCACCGAGACAGCTCCACTGTGCTAACAGAAAGAACGTCTAAAAGAACTTTAGTCAACATACAGAAAAACACCAAATAACATCGACGGGGCCGAGGAAGTAATAAATAACCTCACTGCATCCTACCTGAAAATAACTAAACCCAGATGCCACTTCTGATAGAGAAACGAAATCACCGCAGCATGCAAAAGAGTGGTGGCAAAACAGTCATTGAACAAGCGAAGCACAAAGATCGAGTGCACCCTTTTGGACAAAGCAAGCAAGCAAAGAGTCCACCAAGGAACCTGAAATACATGTTATCTGATATCAGAATTCAGAACCGCTCAAAATCATTTTATGAACTACGAGAAAACCCCAACACACGGGATCAAATATCTTTATGCAAATTTTACACTCAAGTCATAATCGAGTATAAAGTTCCATTTACCACATCCGTCTTCAGATAAATTAACATAACCATCCCAAGATTCACGATATAGAGTACACCAAACAAAATCTGCAATCAACAGATGGCACAAGTTATGATCCCCAAAGCTCGGAACTTTCAAAAAGAACAATGCAAAAAGGGAATAATACCTGGGCTGGAAAAACCTGGCCACCAGTAACATACTGAATAGCAGAGTAAATATAAAGAAACCCAGCTGGATATACCAATGGCCCCGTATCCCCTTCGAGTTTGCTATAATCTCGTTCTCCTCCAAGAAACCCATTAACCTATTAACACTAAATTATCAAAATAACATCTAAACAATGAAATTGAGTATTTGAAGAGCGCTGGGACTATGATTCAGCTGAGAAATCAATGTCACTTGCAACCTAAATTTTAACCAAAAGAAGGAAAAACATAGCAGAAATCGAGATGAAGCTTTTTGTTCACCTGTGACATATAAGCATCCCAGTCGATCTCCGTGTCTGAAGGACACAAACCAAAATTCAGTGTTAGAATCTATAGAACTTACTTCGAACAGCTTAAATTGAGAAATGAGCTTTCGCCATCGGATTACATGGAACATATGCAATGACGAGAGAAACCAAGACCGCGTCGGCGATGAGTACGGCAAGGGCAAAGAATGCTTTAGGACTTATGACAATTTTTCGAATGACAGAGTGATGTTCGCCCGCCGTATTCGATCCGGCGGCGGCCGATCGGGTAGCGGTTGCTGGTCGCGGCATCGGAGTAAGGAGTTCGGCGCCGGCAGAGATTGGCTTGGGATTAGTCAAGTCAACTGTCAAAAGGATGAAGCGGGTGATTTACGTCAAACGCAGCGTTTCGGGTCAAGTGTTGGGCCACTTGGGTCAGATTTGATAAACGGGTCGTCTCATGGTTCACAATGTAATTCCTCTCATATTGTTCCTGGGGAAATGCTACCATCCCGTTACGGTACCATCCCGTCGGGTATTTTAACCGTTGGATCATCGATCTTATCTAACTATACGTAGATCTAACGGTTAAAACAACCGACGGGATGGTACCGTAACGGGATGGTAGCATCTCCCTTGTTCCTGTTGCAATTTTCCTAATGTTTAGGAGAAAATTACACCATTTAGTTATGGTTTCCTTCATTTGGAGAAATAAAATGCAAAATTATGTTACTTATTACTTTTAATATATGGTACTAATGTGTATCCATAAAGCTATTATCTCATATTTTGTCAAATTGGATTAGAGTTGTTGAAATGACGAAACGGTTGAGCTACCATGTTTCATTCGTATGCAATTTTTAAAGACTTTTTAACAATTGTAGAAATAGTGAAATACAGTATGTTTAACTCAGAGTTTTTAAAGACATTGTAAGACTTTTAAAAGGCTTGAGTACTTATTCGAGATTTTAAATAAGTCTAAGAAAATCATGACGTATATTTAACTTGTTTTAGACTTAGACTACTTAACATTTTTAAAATTTGTTGAGATTTCAAAAGAAAAAATCATATACGAAATCTCACCTGCAAACATAAAGATTTCGTAGGATTCCTCTCAAATTTGAAAATCTTAAAACTCTCAAATCTCATAAAATCTTAAGTCACTCAAAATTCCAAACGAGTACACTCTTTAAGCTAGCTCGAACAGTTAATCTAGTTCATCTATTAAATGGGTCTAATCGAAATTGATTGCAAACAACTCGTTTAAATTGTTTTCAAATTAAATCGTTGAGTTGAATTCATTCACGAAGGGACATTACATATTCGTGTTGGCCGTACTCCTTTCAGTATTGTGTCTTTTACAATAAGAGTTCGAGAGCAGTTTCTTGTGTTCACCTAGATTGTTGTAATCTTTTACAATATGCATAAACATATAATATTCGGGAAAATGAAATTGTTTTCTTGATTCTAGCCTACCCCAACTTGTTTGGGACTAAAATGCTATGTTGTTGTTGTTGTTGTTTGTTTACACTTCTTATATGTCAAGAACATTCATAGTGAGTGCCATGACAACCAAAAATATAAATCAATAAAGAGCAAAGCAAGCTTCTGCATTGAACTGCACATAAATAAAAATAAATAACACATCACTGCACAAATTTTTAACAAATCAATGGAAAAACATGGTTTAATTTGTAATGTAGCTCAGATCAGAAACTAATATCTGAACAATTATGTAAATGACAAAGAACCCCAATGATTCTATTCATATCCGATAACTGCAAAGTAGTTTTTTCACAAATATTCTTCAATTAGTTACTTCCATTTATATTCCATTTTCTTCATTCAGTTCGACATAGCCTCCTAAACGTCACAGATACCCTTCTCTTCTGGTTGATTTCTCGGCCTTGCCAGATTTGGAAACCTGGCTTACGATTAATCTCGTGCTTCCATAGGTATCGTGCCTCACCCCACATCAAAACCAGAGACCCTGGGGTTAAAAGTACAGGAATCTTAGCTGCGGGTACAACAGATCCTTTGACTTCAGCTTCGACCGAGCTGAAATGCATCACACACGATGACTCCAATGAGATTATCGTTATTCCATCTTCAAAACGCATTAAGTCGACATGGGCACAGATCCCCTGCATTCCATATGGAATATCACTCTCTCCATAGAAAAAAATTGCTTGAATATGAACACAAATAAGTTTTATACCCTTGGCACTTGGCACTTGGCACTTGACACTTGGCACTTGGCACTTGGCAGTCATCGTATAGTTCTATACGATACTGCTTGCTTCCGTTTATAAATAATTGCAATTAAAGATATATTTTCTCATTTACCAACATTATTAATCCCAAATGAACAGGCAAGGCTATGTTTGGTAACCAAACAAGCTAGCTTATAGCTTATTTGGTTAGCTTATAAGTTTCCTGTATTTAAATAAGTTTTGTTTGGTAGAATGAGCATTTTTTAAAAAACTCGAGTTTATCTCATAAGCTTCTTTGGCTAGCTTTTCACATAAGCTCGTTGAAAATTTTATTTCAGCTAGCTTAGCAGCTAATTTACCAAACACTTTTATTATAAACTAGTTTTTCAGCTATAAGTCATAAGCTCGAACATCACTTATAAGCTAAAAGTTCTATCAGCTAGCCTAAGTAAGTAATATGTATGATCCAGAACATCATATCAAATATTGCATTGTTAACAAGATAGCATGTAGTAATTCAAAGATGATGGCCGTACCTCACCTGGCTGGTATATGTTCACTATAAATTGGTCGAACAGTGGTTCTCTCCATAATATTTCTGATGGAAAAATATGGCTTTCCTTATTGCTATCACTAACTTTTGGGCCCATGCATTTGGAAGAAAAACCATCCAAGAGAACATTCTCTCGTATAATGCACGATAGTTCATTGGCCCATGGGGGAAGATTTCCGAACCTCATTGCCTGAATTGCAATGCATGCATTATTCCAAAACCATGAAATGAAAAATCCCGTAGGGCAGTAATAGCCAGAAAGGGTGTAATTTCTCTTAGAGCACGAAATGAATATCATGAGCTGAGTTTTTCAAATATAACTAAGTTTAATGTTAAGTAATTACTCTACACCTGCAAATATGATGAATCCTCTATCGAGCTAGATGAGAAATGAACACTAGCAACCTTTAGCATGAATTTTAGCACAAAAGCAAACGACTTAGTATAACTTCGCTAATCCGGTCAACCTGCTCATTCAGGCATTATATCGAACAGGTTGTTCGTCGCTTTTTTTTTTTCACTAAACCCTCAAAATTGGAGAATACACAACAAGAAATGAAGAAATATAGACATAATAAACCTAA